TAATATAATATTACTTATATTCTTGTTTTATTTTATTGCAAGATTTCTATACAACATATATTTAAGCACGAGGCCCTGGTCAAATTTAATATAGGTGACATTATTATATTTAAATGTGATAACAATGATAAAATAAAAATGATAACACTTTGGTGCTGTCACAGATATAGATAATAATAGATTATTATCTATATCTGTGGGTGCTGTAATCGACTGTATTTATAACACAGATCCCAGAATTAAAGGTTTATCAGTATTCAGTATTTGGTTGTTGTTATCAGCAAGTTCGAGCATGGGTCTCGTCCACGAATTGCGGTTGACGGCCAATATAAGGTCGTCGTTCGTGCAATAATTCGTAGATATTTTATAGTATATTTTAGTATTTTACCATTTCGTTGATGCTGATACTCGACTGTCGACTAKCAGTTACAATGTCAACGATTTTGCCCTCCGCTAGTAAAACGGTCTTGATCGGCCGTCCCGAATACCAATCACTGTTGGATGGAGTGAAACTAATTAGCTTAGGATTGACGAGAAAAGAAGACACGGCGGCGGCCGATTTGAAAAGTAAAATCTTAAACATAATTAGTGTCTGTCCTTATACCTACATAGGGTTAAACTAACTGTTTTTTGGTAAACTTGAATTTCAGATATGGAAATCGATAAAAACAATTTGTTGGGCCTGCACTGTACAACATGCCAAGTAGCATTTGAATTTTCTGAAGAACACAGAGCACACTATAAATCGGACTGGCACCGGTATAATTTAAAGCAAAAAATACGTAACAGGCAAACAATCGATGAGCCTAAGTTTCTTGCTCTGGAAAGTATGTATTCTTAATTAACAATTGCAATTGTAATAAGAATGTAATATTTCTATTATTTTATTACATTTTACTTTTTTGTTATGTATTCRAATTTAAATCATTGCTGCTGGGTATTTAACTGATGGTATTGTATTTTTAAKTACTTATATTTTATATTTATATAAATTTAGATAAAGCAAATGACAGCTCATCCAGCTGTGAAAGTGATGATGAGATCAATGCTTACAATTCACATTTTTCAATGGATTCAAAATTATTTTTTGAAAATAATTCTGGCAATGCTTTTTCTGTTTACAGATGTTTATTGACTAACAAAAAAGTAATAGGCATTTTATAACTTTATAAAACAAAACTGAAATTAATACATTTTATGCTTTCTGTTAAATAGGATATTCCAAATGAAGAAATAGTGGTTAATTCATTAAAGTTAATCAACTCCAAACCAATGTGGTTTATTGTTATGTTAGGAGGTGGTCGTTTTTCAGCTGCTATATTTAAAGGTATACCAGAATATCATTAGCTTTACATATTGTGATTAGTTTACCACAGAGTTTCTTAAACTGTGTTCCACGGAGCTTGAATTATTTTTTAAAAATGTTCAAGAAAATTACTTATATATTAAATAATAATGTATAAGTCATACAGAATAATCTATCAGCTAACTCTATATTTAATAATCTATACTTCTACTTAATATAATAATTAATTTGCAAATAATCCTTAAAAAAGGTAAAAAGCTAAAAAAAAGTAGGGGTTCCACTGTAAAACTGGACATCAAAAATGGTTCCACGGATAAAAAAGTTTAAGAAACGCTGGATTTACCATATAGTTATTATATTATATTGTAATTTGTTTTAGGTGAAGAAGCAATTGTTCATAAAACTTTTCATTCATATACTGTACGAGCAAAACAAGGTGGTTCTCAAAGTACACAAGATCGATCAAAAGGTGGATGTAAAAGTGCTGGTGCAAGTTTACGCAGATATAATGAAGCATCTCAATTAAAAGTACAGTATTTAAAACTCAGTTATTTATAGGTAGGTAACACATGTTATAATCTGATAAGTTTTTATTCAGCATATTCAAGAAATATTATCRTCATGGCTACACCATATAAAATTATGTAACCTAATATTTTATCGGGCAATCGGTCCAAATAATCGAAATATTCTATTTGGTGGTTCAAACCCATTAATAGATAAAAATGACAGTAGACTATGTCAAATACCATTTGGAACCAAAAAGGCAACTTTTGCAGAAGTTCAAAAAGTTTGTAACCAACTATCAACTGTTTCAGTTTATGGTAATCATCCAATTATGAACTAATATTTATGAAGTAATAATTCTGAATGGTTTCTACTTTTTTACAGATTCAAAAGAAATTATTAATAATTCAATTAAAAATTATGTTTTAAAATTATTTAAAAAAAGACAAAATACAGAATCTAGAACAAAAAAAGTTGCAGAGAAACCTGTTAGAGACATTAAAAAATCAAATGAAAAAGTTTCAGAAAATATTCAACTACCTTCAATGTCAGGTAATAAATAATTTTTTTTTTTTGTATTCATATGGAATAAAAGATAAATTGTATTACCCAATATTAATGTTAAAATATACACTGTGAAAAATCTAATTGTTTGCTAAGTTTAACTTCGATTAATATAACTAATATAATATATTAACTACAAAATGCTCAAACTATATTTATCAATTATTTAATTTATACTTGCTTATTTATTATTTTATTTTTAAATTTAAGTAAAATTATTCAAATTAAAACCATATTTAAATAAAAAATACTATACAAATAATATTTTGTATGTACATATTTAGTTTAAATTAAAAAAAAAGTATTTTTGACTTGCAAATATATTTGAATTTGGCATTTTAGATTCTAGTGAAAATGATAATGAAAATGCAACTGTGGAATTTCCACAAAGTAAAATATTATGCGAGAATAATGGCAGTATAATTACAAATGGTTCGAAAATTAAAAAACGCAAGAAGAAGAAGAAACCCAAAGACATAATTGTTAAATGTGCTGAAGTTGAAGAACTAAAAAAATGTTTATTGCAAACAATTGAAGAAAAAAATTCTGAAGCTTTAAGTAAATACCTTTTATTGGAAGATTCTTCTACTAAAGAACATTTAGAAAAAAGTTTAAATGAAGCTATTGATGAATCAAATAACACCTTACTTCATTTAGCCTCTGCTAACTGTCTTCATGATCATATTTAGTAAGAAGTTGTATATTATATTAATTACTACTCTAAAATACAATATTTTTATATTTACAGCTTACTTTTACAACATGGATCAAATCCAATTCATAAAAATAAAGACGCCAAAACACCATATGAATTAGCACCAGATAAATCAACTAGAAAAGTGTTTAGAAAATTCATGGCTGTTTTTCCTGATAAATATGACTATGATAAAGTAAACTTTTGACATTTTCCACATTTATATTTGTGGTTTAATAAAATACATGAGTATTTTCTTTGCAGTCCCGATTACCAGGGCCATTAACAGAAGAGTTACAAGAAGAATTAAAAGAAAGGAAAAAAGCTAAACAAAAAMGAGCCAAAGAAAGAAAGGTGGTCGAAGAGTTAAAAAGAGAAGAAGAAATTGAAAAACAAAAATTTCTTCAATTATCAGATCGAGAAAAGGTAATTTCTCACCATTAAACAATGTATAAGAATAAAATTTTATATACTATTTTATTTTAGTGTGCAATAGCTGCAGAAAAACGATTTATGACAGTTCAAGGGAAATTTAAATTATTGCGATGCTTCTATTGTGGTAAAAACATAGAAGCAAAATTTCCTTTTGAATACATGGATTATAAATTTTGTAGTGTGCAATGTGTCAAAAATCATAGACTAAAAAATGTTGTAATCTAAAATATTTTATTGTAATAAAAATTATTTTATAACTAATAAAATGCTCAATTCCATACAACCGCTTTAGGTTTTATTCAGAACCGATAAATATATATACTTAAATCTATTGAAATCCCAATTATTTGTCACCATTGAAGAGCAGTATTCAAATTTCTTATTAGTTAGTTGAAATGCATTTTAATTGACATAATCATTTTGACTTGTTACAAACTTTACCGACTATAGTTACTACTTACTTAAATAATTTATACAATCTATACTTACATTGTTCACAAATTACATTTTATGCTAATTGAAATGTATACAATAASAAAATGTTCTCAACTATTTATATAGTAACTGTTGAATGTTCTTCATCATTGAGTAGGTCACTGTAATGTAGATATATTATGTGYTAAATTTGTATCAAAATAGGTAATAATACTGAGCAGTTAGCTTATATGCAATATTTTATTGAATGAAGTAATGTATTTATTTTCAATGGTATTGTTTATTTTTGAGTGTCTGTATACCATCACCTTTTGGAGGATTAGAAATTTAAATTAGATGGTAATTATAAGAGAAGTTCAAAAGTCAAAAATTAAAGTACTATTTTAAATAATTAGAAAAATAAAATAAAAATATGTAAAAAACAGATTTTATTATAATTCAAAAACAATTTTTCTTTAACTCAAATTAATTTGTAAATTTTCRTGGTTTTTATGCYTAACTATTTTTTATATTTACACTGATAACAACTATAATTATTGATGAATTTCGTATTAAATTGTCCTGTTTTTTTCCATGGTAAAAATTGATTGACAATAATTAAAACAAGTCGAACATTTATCATGTTTATTAATAGATAAAAAAAAATCTTTTCAAATCTTTAACATGTGTGGAAAATTGTCATATAAATAAATATTTAGTAAAAATTAAAAACAGGTAGGTGCAATTATTAGTTGTTGAGTTACAACAGATATTTTATTTTTTTGTTTTTTTACTTACTCAACGTTTTTGGAAACTACCTACTGGGCATTTAACTTCATTTTACTWATTTTAACTACYCCTCCCCAAAGCACCGAGTAGATGATYTACTTTCCTAGTTTCTTACCRTGTAAAATATGCTAAAATAGAAAAAAAAAACTATACTCGTCTATGCTACTGTCATCAGTGTCAACTGTCAAGGTATTGAAGTGTCAATGTTAGATGAGTGTAATAAATATTGGTGTCATTCACRAATATTAAGGCGTACCTAACCTAACTGAATTAAATCTTAATTTGTGGCGTTTACGTAGGTACAGACTAGATGTCAGCGACGTTTTAGAATAACCATTTACCTAAATCACGACGAAAATAAATCTGAAATTAATTATGACTTATATAATAAAAAAATCTAGGTGACAGTAAAACAGCAGCAGCTACAGTCATCGATGCATCATGATGAGAATACTCAGTAGAAAAAGTATTAATAGATACTTTATAACGTCATCAAAATACATTTTTTACCTTGTACATCAACAGAACCAATTTTCATGTTTTACGTTAATTTTATAGAGTATTTTATACCAAATAATTTGGTGTAACTATCAAGATATTCAAAATATACACATCTGATTTTTTTGTCAGAATTTTCGGTTGAGTATAATTCTGTAGAAAAAAAAATATATATATATATATATATAATTTCTTAATTTTATTTATTTATGCAACCAAAACTGAAACTCAAATAGAAAATATATAAGGTAAAACGAATAAGTATTTAAAATACTTTTCTCAAGTATTTTACTAGACTGAACGTCACTCATTTGTTTTTTGGATTTCTTATTGGTCTATTAGGCGGTTTACACTATATCAATGGAAAGCCACGTGGTATTAGTATACTTGTTTTTATTATTTTTTAAATCGTTATAATTATAATCCAAAAAATAAAAGACACGTCTATAATTTAAAATTTGTAGCACTTCTAACAAGTGTTGTCTATGACAGTCATCGATCAATCTTGGGGCCTTAATTCAAAGTCTAATACATTGAAATATACTAAATGTTTTATTTTTAGTATTATATCCCATTGGCAACTAAATGGCGAGTTAAAAAAAAAAAAATGTGATTTTAAAAAATTAATCCAAAAAATGCATTTTCCATATTTTTCGAACTAATCAATTTCTCAAATAGTCAAGTTCTGTTAGTTGTAGATGGACTTAATCCTTTAAACAAAAACAAATTCATATTGCGTATCAATTGACCGTCTAAAAAGATTTATGCCAGTAAATTACACATTGCTTGAATATTGCTCCTTAATAAAGACACTCAAACAGGCATTTTAATATTAATATCTCAATAACTCGACTGTTATTATTTATCATGGTTGTTAGCTGTGACAGTAAATGTTTAAAATATGGACATTGATAAACCGTTGCCAATTTTAAAGATTTAAAATTTTGCAACTTTCCAACAAACAATGATAACTWCCATAAAATGTGAATTTTAAATTCTGGTAAAGACTTTTATATTATTAGAATTGTTACGACCAAATAGTTTGGAGTATATTATACATTAAAGTGAGTATGAACACTTGATATTTGTCCAGTAATAATATGTTTTTATTAAATTAATACTTTTAAAATAAAACTATTATTTATAAGTCAATATTATTAATGGTGATTACTAATGGTTAAAACAATAATTATTTCTTTTTATTTCTTTTATTTTGAAACCTATCCAGTACGCTAACCCTTTTTGACACCGTTGATTTTCTTTCATCAATCTTATCTTTTGACCGTGCATTAAGTGCTTTAACAAATTCCTGGAAAAAAAATTAACTTGTTAGCGATAAAACTAAATCTGTGGAACACAATAAATTAATATATACCTTTGTTTTTTCTTCTAATATTTTTTCTTTTATTTTTGAAGGGTTAGCTAGGGTTTTTTTCTTGATTTTATTTCTWACTTTGATATTTATTTTCAATGGTTTTACAGTCTATAAAAAATAAAATAAATAGGTACATTAATATAGTATGAATTTAAGATAAATTATAATTTATATTAATGCTTTTTAAACTATTTAAACTTACTTGAAGTGAATTTCTAGCAGTAAGCTTTGTGTTTAATGTATTTAGGTCAACTTCATCCACGGTCGATTCTAATGTTATCATTTCAGCTGGGATCTATGATAAATTATTATATTTTTAACCAAGTTCTTAATGAAGAATTTTAATTACAACTCTACCTTTTCTAAAAGCATTTTCACTTCAGCTTCTTTACGCTGTTTCTTTGTTTGGAATGGATTCCTCTCCAATGCATCAAAATTTGGTTCTCCAGATCCTAAACATTAATAATTAATTAAATATGTGTTCGATGAGTATGGTAACTTTTAAATATTTMTAAATATTTCTAACCTGGTATTAGCATGCTAGAAAAACCACCATCATGTCCGGCTCCAAGGACATCTTCAAATGGACAAAAAGCTAAATTGTTTATTGTTCTAGCGATATTATGCCTGAGATAAGCATGCTGTATGGTTTTTATACAGCATTCTTCATACACCTAGATTATCAGTAAAATTTCTATGAATTTCATAACAGTAAAGAGTATCATACTTACATCAACAACGTTATTGATAGCCACAGCTAAAGATCCAGTTTGACTGAACACCATACTTCTTGGGCTAGTCCTAACCTTGTAATCTTGTAATGGTCCTTTTAATCTACGTAAATCCCAAATTTTAATACTCCTATCCATACCAGATGTGGCCATGTACCTATAATCATAAAATTAATGTTAAGCTAAAAATAACCATTGTGAAATATAGACATCACATTATTTTACATTCCATTAGAATTTATAGCAAGTGATGTAATCATATTTCCATGACAAAGTATTTTAGCAACAGGTTCTCGAAGATTAGGACTCCACATAGACACAACACCTAGAATTAAACAAAGTTAGGTATTTTATTAAGCAATTCAATTTAAAAAAAAATGTATAATGACCTTTTGTATGTCCTAAACAGATCAATGCATTATTTTGATTTTGAGTCATGAGGCTCAATCGACCCATTTTGGCATTAAATTGTGATACTAATTTTCCCATTGATACATCCAACCAAGATAAAAATCCTTCTTCGCTCTGTAAAACATAATAGATGAAAATTGCAATTTCAAATGTTTCCTTATAATTATAATCATAAAACTTATAGTACAAGTAATGTTAAACTTACAGCAGTACTTAAAAGAAAATGATAAGGTAGAAATTCCTGATGTAAAACATTGTTTAAATTCTTCAAACAATGTACTTCTACACCTTGATTGTCGTACATATAAACCCATTTTTTTTGTGCAACTGAAAAAAGATTTTCATTGTGGAGCCATCTGTAAACAATATAATTTTTATTTTTGGTATTTTTAGTTTTGTGACCAAAGCCCTTATACAGGGTGTCCCGCGAGGATTTACCCATTGCAATATCTCCCAAAATAATGGGGATATCAAAATTTTGGTTTTGTATTAAGATTCACAGGGATAAGAACTACAATTATTTCATATTTTAATGTTTTGGTAAAAGAAGAGTTTAAATATATATTAGATTCTGAGCGGAGCGATGAATGTATTGATTTTACCATGATGTGTGTTTTTATTATTTTTTTTTTGTCTGTCATCACGTTTTGGGGCAGTAAAAGTGCTTCGATTATTGACTTCAGTACTTCGTTCGATCAGAAAGTGAATATAGTTGGTACTTTGGGGGAGGGGTCAAAAGTAAAAAATTCTTAATACTTTTCTAAATAATCGAGAAAAACAAAGTAAAAACATTGATTATAAATAATTAATTATAAAATTGATAATAAATAGTATTTATAATCAATGGTAAAAATTACGGGAAAAACGGGAAATTTTACGCACAATCAGTTTTGGACAAAATCGATTTTGGTTTTTGATGTAACTTTAAAACAAATGACCATAGATACATGAAATTTTCACCGAATGTTTATATAAGTATAATATTCTATCTACCATGCAATTTTCAAAAGTTTTCGAATTGAGTTGAACTATTCATGGGTATTTGAAATGTTCGATCATCAGAGTCGGATTTATCTTTTTTACGGCTATAGGCACCAAAAATTTGCCGCTCCTATAATAGGTGAAAAAGTTACAATACCCCTCCAAAAT